TTGCTGATATGGTCGCCTGATACCATCTGGTTGGGGGTAGAACTAGAAGAGGGGATAGATGTAAGATATCTAACCTCTCTTCTCCTACGCGGGCATGTCCTACCCCCACCGCCATTCCTTCCCCTACCCAGCACCACCTCAATGGCTGCCCCCTCCAACACCCTCCCCCCTTCCTGTTCCATTAGATCCACTGTGGGTCTCTTCTTCATTGATGGCAATTAATAACAATTTAAAAACATTTAAAACATATATAAAATAAAACTTTTCTAAAGCCCCTTCTCTCCCTCCCAGCCATGTAGCTCATGTTGAGAGGGGGATGAGGCAGCCAGGAGCAGCAGGGCCTGATCCTGCCAGCACAGGGGAAGGTTGAGCCAGCTCCCTTGAGAAAGAGCTGGCATCCAACAGGGGCCCGACCACAGTTCCACTGCCTCTCACCCAGTGGGCTGTGGCCGGCAGATGGTCTCTTGTTCCCTCTGTCAGCAGGCACGCTCGTCCGGTCAGGTCCCAAAGGAAGCTCCGGTTAAAACCTTTCTCTCCCCCTGGGCCAGGTGGCCGGTGTTGGTAGAGGATGAGGCAGCCGGGAGCAGCAGGGCCTGATCCTGCCAGCACAGGGGAAGGTTGAGCCAGCTCCCTTGAGAAAGGGCTGGCATCCAACAGGGGCCCAACCACAGTTCCACTGCCTCTCACCCAGTGGGCTGTGGCCGGCAGATGGTCTCTTGTTCCCTCTATCAGCAGGCACGCTCGTCCTAAGAGAGAAGAAAATTAGAGATGCATGGACAGAAATCCTGGTAAAATCTGTTCTTGAGTGGTACTGGCCATAGTATACAGTGGTGGCGAACCTTTTTGGGCTCGCGTGTAGAAAATGGTTGGAGGAAACAGCGGGTGGCGGACCCGGACCCGGAAGTGGTGGTTTAAGGGGGAATCATGCCAACTATGCCGGAGAACCCGGAAGTGGCGGCGGAAGGGGGAATCCTAGCTGCAGCCATTTCATGAGGTTTGGCTGAGCAGGGGTGGGTGGGTGAGTAGCGACCTATGGCTCGCGTGGCCAGAAGAAAGGGCTCTGTGTGCCAGCTGTGGCACGCTTGCCATAGGGTCGCCATCACTGGTATAGTATAACTGCACCAATGTAACAGGAGTGATGACAAAAAAAAGTTATGATGGGTGTGGCTCACAACCAACAATACCAAGTTGTGCATACCTCAAATTGAAGAAGGTGGCATCACTCCCAATTGTGCAATTGTTTCATGTTTATGTTTTACCTCACTCTCACTGTCCTTCCACAGGTAACTACAATATGGGAGGTAATCCCATTGTTGTCATCCGGCAAATCAGGGAATTCCTTAATATTGGACATGATCGCCGCAATCCTCGTGAAGACTACTTAGGTATGACACAATGGTCCGTGGATTAGGTGGAGGAATAGAAGGGGAAAAATATTGAGCCATCAACACTCCGAGCCCAGCATTTTGAGATAATTGACTTATTCCATCTTGGCCCTGCTTCATTCGTGATCACTGCCACAGTGATTTCTCTTTTTTGTTTGCTAGAGAATTAGCATTTCTGAACAGATTTTTTTTAGCCTTGTCTCTTCTACAAGAAATTATGTCTCTTCCAGAGGCAAAGTTATGTTTCTTGTCTTCTAATCTGGTGAGAGTTTCATGTGCTTCTGGTCACCCTAATGCAAGACACAATAGAGGCAGAATTATACAATTATTTACAAAGATTGGAAGGCCAATGTGTACAGTACAAGATAGCATAAGATTAGAAATTCTTAAGCAATGATACCACCTGCTTGTCACAGCTCGTATTTTTCGTATTTTCTATACTTCCACTAATTAATTTGCTTTGTTTCAAGATGGGTCTTCTAGATGTAATCAAAGACTTCATTTTGAAAACTGATTAGTCCTTAGATGTAATGGTGTTATAGTTCAAAAAATTTGAATTCATGGGGTGCAGTGGTGTGGCTCTTAAAAATTTCTTTTAAAATGTGCTTCACAGGTGTACATTAATCATGAAAATATTATTGAAAAAAGTACAGCTGGGAATATCCATTTAAATTACAAAATTACAAAACCAATACATAGCCATTTGCTTTGGAACATAGAACTGATAACATGGCAGATATAACTCACTCAGTTTCGTGACAGTTTTTGAGGTGAAAAAGTAAACAATAGAGCACTTACATTATATGAAACAGAGACAACAGCAGGAAAAAATGGAGTGCATTTTAAATTGACACTTGAGTTATATTTTATTTATAATGTTAATTAACAATGAAATATCACAAAATAGATGTCCATAAGTTCTGACAATAGTCTTTTGACACACTCATGGGATTTCAAATGGAACGATGCATTGTTTATGACACAGACTGACCCTCAGAAGCAGTAAGTGATCATTTTGTGGCCGACACCACTTTGCTGAAGCAAAGAGAGTTCCAGACATTGGACGGCCTCTGTGAACCATACTGTGACATTTATTTATCGGCAATCAGCCAGAACTTGTTGATTCTATAGAAGTTCTATTTGTTTACCGCATTTCTAGGTTCCAGGTTTAATGTAACAAATCCACGCAATTTGGCGATCCCCTTTTGCCGAAGTGAAACAAAATGCTGAACTTTTTCCCCTTTGGTGTTTCACTTGCTTTGGCCGAAGGGGATAGCCACCCATCCCCTTCCCACCGCCCCGTCACTTCCACCTACCTGCTCCTGCCACTGCTACCTCTGCCGCCTCCTCCATGGCTGCTGTGGGTGCCCTCCTCAGAGTGCCAGCCTGCCACTGCCTTTGAGCCTGCACCTATGGTGGTGGCGGAGATGAAAGTGGAGGCAGAGGCAGGAGGAGTGGTCAGGGCCTCCTCCGAGGCACAAACTGGAAAAATTAACTGTGATCCGGTTTGTTTTTCCAGAAATCCGTGGTGGTTTGTGGTTTGTGATTAGCGACGAACCCTCAGGAACCACTGTTTTTCCAGTTCATTCCTATCTCTACCCTTGATCCTGGATAATTAGTTATATCCATGTGGACTACTAAAGTGATTCATCCCTGACGAGTTTAAAATAGTGACACAAACAATGTGGCATTTTGCAGTGATCCCACCCCCATTTGTCTCTTTACATCTCTGTAGACCAAGGGTGGCCAGTAACGCACTGTCTTTTGTTGCAACACGTGAGTCTTGCTTCGTCTGGAAATACAGTGGTGCCTTGACTTACGAACTTAATCCGTATTGGAACGGTGGCTGTAAATCAAAACGTTCATAAATCAAAGCACCATTTCCCATAGGAATGCATTGAAAGCCGATTAATCTGTTCTGGCTGTTTTTTGTCCTTATGTCAAGGCACGGTTCGTAAATCAAAGCATTACAGTAGTTGCCATAGTAACTAATGGAAAGCCAGTTAATCCATACTCTACCGCTAGGGGGAAGAATTTTTTTCTTTTTTCTTCTTTTGACCTAAGATGAACTTAGGAAAAAAAAGGGCAGGAAAGGGGTTTTTTCGTTCGTAACTCAAAACATTCGTAGGTCAGGGCGTTCGTATGTACAACCATCAAGAAACATGGAAGCCACCATATTTGAAATGCTGGAAACTGAATTTTGAGGGCACGCAAGGCAAAAAAAAATTGAAACCAAATTATGCGTACTGCTTTGCGATTTGAGGAAATGAGAGTCCTCACTATAACGGAATCCGCACTGACGGGGTCGTAGAGCGTATTGTTCTGGTGGTAGATAACTCTCTGGCTGGCTACTCAGGGTATTTGCCATAACAGAACAAAAAGCACAGCCACCTTGTCCTTGAGCAACACCTAAAATCAGAGTTGGATAATAATGTTTTATCAGACGATTTATCCATGCTTCCCTGTCATATCTTGCATGCAGATGTTTATGTCTTTGCTATTGGAGACAAGGCCCACATGGAGAGGGTGAATGAGCTGGCATCTCAGAAGCGTGATGAGAAACATGCCTTCAAAATCAAAGACTTTGATGAGCTGCAGGAGGCCTTTGATAAAATGATCGGTAATGTGAACCTACAAGAGTCCTGGGCTTTCAGACACCTTTTTGCTTGTGACCTTCAAGAGCATGATCTCAAGCGCCTATTCTTAGAGAGCACTTCCCATACAGTGGTGCCTCGCTTAACGACAATAATCCGTTCCAGGAACATCGCCGTTAAGCAAAAACATCGTAATGCGAAAAAACCCCATTGAAACACATTGAAACCCCTTCAGTGCGTTCCAATGGGGTCAAAACTCACCATTCAGCGAAGATCCTCTATAGGGCAGCCATTTTCGCTGTCTGTCTTGCGAGGAATCCATCCCAGAAAACAGCAGGGAGCCATTTTGTTTACCCGGTGGTCATTTTGAAACCGCTGATCAGCTGTTTAAAAAACGTCATTTTGCAAAGAATCGGTTCCTGAAGCAGGGAACCGATCATCGCAAAGTGAAAAAACCCCATTCAGACCATCATTTTGCGATCGGAATTGCGATCGCAAAAAGATCGTCGTAATGCGATTTCGTCATAATGCAGGGCAATCGTAAAGTGAGGTACCACTGTATCTAGGTTTCAGTGGAGGACCATCCCAAAGGATTCTGGGATATGTTCTGTGGGGGGGTGGGGAATCACTCTGTTCACGTACTGTGGTGTTTCTTTGCTTGATCTAAAAACTCTTTAGACACATACAGGGCCAGGGGAAATGCTCGGGCCAGGGGAAAGTTACCTTTTTTAGACTAGATTTTTTTCCGGCTGCCCATTTGATTTTGCAATAATTATTGCAATAATTCCAGGCCACTCCAGAACGTGTTGATTCTATACAAGCTCTAATTATTAATATCATTTCTAGGTTCCAGGTTTAAAGTAGCAAATCCAAAAATAATCAAAGACAGTCTTACAGTTACGAAGAAAAAAAACTGTAGGCACATCTGCTTATATCCAAAAGTATTTCAAACATGTAACTTCTATTGGTTAAAAATACTTTAAAGTCCATAAAAACTGGACTTAAGCTTGAACAAATAATTAAGTGAGAAAATACAGCTCAATTGTAAGCTTATAGCTATGCAAAGTTCAGACAAGAACTTTAATCATGCTTGAATCAAAAAGCTGGAAAAAATGAGCTCCTAAAGGTATGAGAAAATTCCAGGTGCAATGGAAGCTTTGTGTAAGGCTGCCACTTTTCGCAGAATAGAAGCAGGAGCAGGCTGTGGCCTCCATGCCTTCTTTAAGGGCTTCCGGAGAGGAAAAAGTTTGTATACTGGGGCAGGGGCAGCTTCTGAATCAATTTTGGGGATCTCTAGGCTTTAACTGAGGAAGAGTGGAGGACAAGGACAAGTAGCTCCAGAGCTAATGAAGTGGTTGGGCCAAACCGAAAGGACGCTCAGCGGCGGACACGCCTGGAAGTGAAAGGAAAGTCCAGTGCTTTAAAAAAAATAATACTACATCGGAACCTGGAACATAAGATCTATGGTAAGCTGGATGTGGTCAAACAGGAGATTTAGATTAGGCATCCTTCAGTCTCGAGAGACTATGGTAACGTGCTCTGTATGGAGGACCTGGAATAGCATCTAGTGTGGCTGAGGAGGCTGATTCAAGAGTGACAATCCCTTCCACACTGAAGACAAATCCAATCTGTCCCCTGTCCAGCTCCCTGATTTTGCTGCTTTTGTGACTTCCTCTTTGCCTCGGCCTGCTGGGCAAGGGTCTCTTCAAATTGGGAGAGGCCGTGATGCAATGCCTGCCTCCAGGCTGAACGCTCAGATGTCAGAGTTTCCCATCTGTTGAGGTCTATTCCTAAGGCCTTCAGATCCCACTTGCAGATCTCCTTGTATCGCAGCTGTGGTCTCCCTCTGGGGCGCTTTCCCTGCACTAATTCTCCATACAGATCTTTTGGAATCCAACCATTAGCCATTCTCATGACG